GATCGGTCTGCACACGCAAACAAAGCCAAAACCTAGATATTTTAGGCAATATAGAAATCCTGGCCATTGGAAAATGGCACGTATGGTCACCCTAGATTTGTTAACTGATGGACTGGAGTGATGGATTACTTGTGATGTTTTTATCAGCTGTTTGGACTCTCATTCTGACGGCACCCATTCACTGCAGAGCATCCATTGCTGAGCAAGTGATGTGATGCTAAATTTCATCTTCAACTCTGTTCTGATGAATGTATAACTCGTCTACATCTTGGATGGCCTGAGGGTGAGTTACGTTTTCAGCAAAGCTTTATTTTTGGGTTAACTACTCCTTTAAAATCAATAAAGCACACTGAGCAGCCTCAACAAAGGTCATGTGACTTCAGGTAGCAGCCCACATTCAGTAAGAGAGAAATCTTTTGACAAGACATCAAAAACGAACAGTACCAGTTGTCAGGAAGCCCCCTAGTCAATCCACATAAGACTATCTTCCAGTTCTGCAAGACTGAAAGACAACACTTATAAAAACATCCTTACAATCCGCTGGAAATTCTCGCTCTATGCGTTATGGCTTTCAACACTTGAATATAGTGACGATGCTTTCACATTCAGGATATCAGTGCCATTGTATTGTAAAACCACACACACGTACACGCACACACACGCTTAAAAAAAAAAACCACAAAGAACAAAACTACCACATAAATAATATATAAAAAGTTCCTGCGTGTACAGAACAAAAAGAAAAAGAATGATAGCTGTAGGTGCCTGAGTCGAGGTGAATCACAACGTTCCTGTGACGACGGTAGAAACACGTTAAAATTCACAGGTTTCTGATCACCGTGGGATCCAGAATGGCTATTTAAATCTCAAACACACTTGGCCAGCGAACAGCAGTAAATTAGCTGCTCCTTTAAATGAAAGGCCCTTAAAAACAACATGCTGTACTCATTCGAAACATCCTACAAGATCCCTTGAGAAAAAGAAGACAAGCTTAAACAGACATTCCTAGTCTCACAGACCACCAAAACTCACATAAAACCAGATCAGCATTGATTGTCAGTAAGAAGGACACATCAGCTGCTGGTCATCAAGGGCCAATACATGAGATTATGCTCTGATTTAAAGACAAACAGCTCTTTTTGAAGGAAATTCAACTTGGCAACCTGCAGATATATACGAGGCGAATCTCAATGATGTGATGTCAGCTGCCTCCAAGAGATCTGATTGGTGACCTGATAATACAAACACTGATCGCGGTGACAGAAAATCTGCTCGCCACCATATTCGCGAGAAAATTGACTACGAGTTTTGAATCTTAAAACCACGTGTGCGCTGCTGCTTTTTTACTTTTACCAGCGAGCCGTGAACTTTAACATAATATACAGCACTGCCGAAATAGACTTCAGATTACCTGAACACCAAAAAAAAAAAAAAAATCAAAATTTTAATCCATGCTTAAAAAAAAGAGAACAAAATAAGTGTTTTAAAACAAAACATCAGTAATTTGACCATCAAATATACAATCTCAAGAACAACAGCAATACTTAGAATCCTGACGGAAGTAATAATCATATATAATCAATAGTAGTAACAATAACAATAAATACAATAATAATGATGATATTTTTATTAAAACATGATCTACTGTATTTGGGAGTACCTGGGCGCAGGGGGCATAAGGCCAGTGAAGACGAGTGCGAAGGACCGTGGATAAGGCGGCAATCGTGCAGGTTATTAGAACTCTAGACGGGAACCTGGAGTCTATGATCGCCCTCGATGATTAAAATATGTAATCTTGAGTCTTGGCATAAAGACGTTCGGTCGGGAGCGTGCTGGGTGGAGTCAGAGGTGAGGGTGGTTCTGGCAGAGAGATAACTGTCGGTTTGCATGCAGGGGAGGACGGCTGTGTCCAGCGTTGGAAGGCTGGAGGGTTCGGAGCGCTCCGACGCTGGACCTCTGCTGCCGTCCTATCAGTCCTCCCTGTCCTTCACCTCCGTGAAGGGCACTCGCATCTAATGTATCGCTTGCAGGGCCGCTCTGAAATACAAAAACACAGAAACGTTGTTTTTAATCAGCTCTCACTGAATGTTCTAAAAATATATCAAATAAAATATACATATATTTAAAAATATAAAAAACTATTTAAAAATGTTTTTATCAATGTTTATTAATTATTATTATATAGTTAATATGAATTTTTGAATAATTTATTTGAATTACTATAAATGACCTTAAAATTAGGATTTTTTTTGTATAAAATTATAATACTGTTCAAAAGTTTGAGGACGGTAATATTTTTGAAATACTTTATTTTTGAAAGTTTCTTATGCTCTTATAAGCTTTTTTAGTATAACTGAAATAGTATTAGTTTTTACTAATATTTAGAATTAATTTTTATTTTATATTTTCTGTTTTTATTTTAATTTTAAAGTTTTGTAATTGTCTTGTTTTTGTCATTTTTATATATTTTTAATGTCATAATTCTTTTTATTTTTTAAGCTGTCTACATATTTTTATTTCAGTTTTAGTTACTTTAGTACATCAAGTTAAACTAAATGAAAATGAGAAATGTTGCCTTGACAATAAGCAGAGATAAAATGAGTTTATGTTTTTTATATTTTATTTTATTTCAGTTATTGTGTATTTTATTTCAGGTGAAGAAAATATTTTTATGGTGTACGTTTCAGTTAACTATTATATCCCTGCTTATGCTTACCAAGGTTGCATCTGTTTGATGAACATACAGCAAAAACAGTAATATTATGAAATATTATTACAAATTTAAATATGTTTTCTATTTGATTATATTTTAAAATATAATTTATTCCTGTATGGAAAAGCTGAATTGTAACATTATTTAGTAAATGCGTCTTTGCTGAATAAAACAAAACAATAATTTCTCTCGATGAAATCTTAATGATTATAATGCATATTTTATATTTGTTTTTAATTTATGTATTTAACTATGTGCAATCTTGATATAGATTTACACTTTCTGAAGAAAATGTGCATCAGTACTCTCATTCACAGTGCCAGGGTGTTACAGCAAGTCAAAAGAGCCCACCCTCAAGTTTTTCTATATTCTGGTGTCTAGATCTGTTCAGAATCCATTTTGACAACAACCAAAACAATCAAACTCTACTGAGAAACAGATCCAAAAAGCTCCAGTGTGAAAACAAATCCAAAGCGTCACCTTCACTGGAGAGGGGCAGCCGGCGCACCGGAGCAGTGGAAATGAACGTTTTGCCATTTGGAGTCCCGGCGGTGCCACACACGGGTCTCCTCCGACTGGCTGCTGCGTGGCCGGCCCTGCCCATCCACAAACTGAGTGAGGCGGATGTAGGCGATGCAGGCGGCCTCTTCTCCAATCAGGTGCACGTGAGGGTTCAGGATAGTGGTGTGGATGGGCTTGCTGTTCTTAGAAAGCACTGCGGAGAAACACACACACGGAGAAAGATCATGTGCATGGTGCTACTGCCATTTCTTGTGATTTATAAGACACATAAATAATGTAGTCTTTCTGATTGAACACACTTACAGTTCTCAAAGTAGAATCTATGGAAGTCCATTCCCTCAACCAGGTTCCCCAAAGCCTCGGGTTCAAAGGATGTCAATCCAGGGTCACAGATTTTCCTGTTACAACGATCCCATTGTGCATTATTATTCAGGTAGCTGCTATATACATGGATAGTTACTTTCATCTTACTCTTAATAAAACTGTTGCTCCACCATGCGAGCAGAACTGACTGTAGAAGAAGACAGTTTACAGTAATGGCCGCTATAGTGCTCTTATATACAATATAGTATGTGTTGGGCCAAAGTAGTTTGTGTCTGTAAGAAAGCATAGCATAACATTGTGTCTGTAACATACGCATAGGCATCAAATTCCCCATTATTGATGGCTTCTATCAGCTGCTCCGTGATCTTGATGATTTCCTGTTTGCGTGCTATAGAAGAAAACATGGACACAGGTGAATACACACATACAGTTCATGCCAAGTAGTCCCACCTTAGTTTCAGATTTTTTTTTTCACTCAAAATTATGATTATTAAAAAAATATATATACTTTTTACGCAAGATATTGGAATATTTTCATCTTTACATTAAAAGACATGTGAATTAAAGACCCAATAAATACGAGGTGCTTCAAATGGACCAAAAAATAAACAGAATAAAAATGGACAATGTATCACAGCCTTTATTAATCTTAGGTGTAAGTATTTTTTAAATAAATCTTTTATGCTGCATTTATTTGATCAAAAATACAGTACAATTGTAATACTGTGAAATATTATTACAATTTAAAATAACTTTTCTATTTTAATGCATTTTATAATGTAATTTATTCCTGTGATCAAAGCTGAATTTTCAGCATCATTACTCCTGTCTTCAGTGTCACATGATCCTTCAGAAATCATTCTAATATGCTGATTTGCTGCTCAAGAAACATTTCTTAATATTATCAATGCTGAAAACAGTTGTGCTGCTTAATATTTTTGTGCAAGTCGTGATACTTTTTTTTCAGGATTCTTTGATAGACAGAAAGTTCAATGCATCCTTGCTGAATAAAATGATTAATTTCCTTTACAATCAAACTTTTTAGCAGTAGAGCATGTTCCACCCCACCTTCCTGTCTCAACAGGAAATACATCAGCACAGGAAAGAAAATTGTGCATTCATGGGTTCTTTAAAACTATAGACTGACAGAGCCAAAGCTAACTGTTCCTCTTTGTTGTACAGGACATGAACAGACAGATGTCAACCTTAACCAAGAGTTAACGCTCTGAAACACAGGCAGAGGTCAGAAAGGTCACACCCTCCTGACTCCAGACCTGAGAGGCTGAGAGAGGTTTAACACACACCAGCTCTGCTGTGGACCTAGTTTCTCAGTCATGATCTTCAGTCTAGACCTTCATCCATTCCTCCTCAATACTCTGACTAAGCTCTCTCTCCTGATGAAGTTTGTACGCTCACACATGCACAGACTCACAAAAACACTCATCTAATCAACATCTCCACCACTTTCCTCCTTCTCGTCTTCTTCTGTCTTTTCCTTGTTAACCGCATGGAGCTAGTTGAGCTATTCCTGGATCCTTAGATACGGCTTATTCTGGTTTCCTCACCCTCACTCACTCCCTCCCTTCATGACTTCCTGCTCCACTTTAGAGGAGCTTAGTGGCCCCGACACGTCCTTCAGTTTCTCCTTGTCAATCTGACACCGCAGGCCTGATAAAAATTCTCTAACTGTGGCTTCAGATTTGATAAATGCCCCACTTCCTTCAAGCGGATATGCATGGAAGTGCATCACAGTTCTGTCACAAACCAGACTCTGTAAATGTCACTTCAGATGCTTAAATGCTGTGTTTTTATCAGGGAAAACTGCCTCCTGCTACTTCCGAATGTCATATGTTGGTTTCAGGGTTGATGGGAATTCAGCTGCAGACTGTTAAAGGCCTGATATACTCCTGAAGAAGTTATTTTTCATTCCTCGCTTAGCGGTAAAAAGATATTTGATATAACCGAGCAGCAGTATACTGTCTGACACCACACACACTGCTGGGAATGGCGTTTAGATGAATATGAATATGCTGCGCACTCTCCTCTCAATAACAAAACAAACAACAAAAATGACAGTGGAGAGAAAACAGCATTTGATCATAGCGATGTGGATATGTTTGTACCAGATCTGCAATTCAGCAGTCTAGTTACATCACGTTTATTTATATAGCCCTTTATACTAGTGGTCAGCTGATATATCGGCCGATATCTGGAATTTTTAATTATCGGCATGGGTCAAAAAGTGTCCAAAGCGGACTTTTATTTTAATAGTGCACAGGACTTTTATTTTGACAGCACTGAGAATGTCAGCATCTGAGCCAAAGTCACTTTAAGGCACGCCTCTCGGGCATGCAAGTGCAGCTCCCATCTTTTTGAATGGGGAAATATCAAATTCTCCAAAACTGCTTGCCAAGCTTGCGATTCATTTTTATATTTGAAATCACCAATGAAATCTGACAACAACAATCTCATAAATGTTATTTATTTTGCTCAAATAGCATTAAAAAAAAGCTTAACTCTCAGGCTAGACCAGCCAGTGCGCATGCGCAGTCCTGAGTGCACGTCTCAGAATGCTGACTGTTTCTATAGCAACCGGGACTTCTAACAGCAGCTGCAGTGCCACGCTGACTTTACCGATTAGGGATTGGCTCTTTTGCTCAGAAGGCGGGGCTTCGTTCAATAGAGCGGCCATATTAAGGGTTGTATTTTTCCCCATTCAAAACTATACGAGTGACACGTCTTGGGTCTTTGAGCGCACGGAACTCCCATTCTCCATCTTTAATATACTGTCTCCATTTAACAGTTGTAATAATTAATTAGTAGACAGAAGTAGACAGAATGAAATGTTTATGCGGTTTAAGGTTAAAAAAACACATTATTTTCCACATACTGTACATTATTGTTTCTCCTCTATGCCCCGCCTTTCTGAAACGCGTCGATTTTTACAAAGCTCATCGGTCTGAAAAGCGAGGTTTCCTCTGAGGCCTGAGCGATAAAACGATATCGATATTTATCGACGGTACACCTTCTTTGATATCGATAGAAAAAATGTTCGATATAGCGCACGATATAGTCTTCCCCATTTTTTTATTACGAGTACGACTGCTGCACTCGCGTCTCACTCAAGAGATGTAGCCATGCAAAGTTAAAACAGTTTAAACTTTTAAAAAACACGTTGTGAATTTGTGGAGGTTTATTCCTTTTCACTGCGTCTCTTATGTTTTTAAATGCAATCTGCGTGATGGGCGATTCGGCTATTTGTATTAAGCAATGCATAAATACATGATGCTGTTTTGTTCATAATTGTTTATGCAATATACGAAATTATATATGATTTTTATGAGTTAATATAGACGTAATGCACGTTTTTATAGAGTTACTTGCTAAATGCGCTGCATTATTTTGCTCATTGCGCCCTTCTGTGGCCTCGGGAGACAATTAGACCTATACAATAAAGACCTATTTAAAACATTAGAAATTAGATATTTGCTTAATTTTTATTGTGTCTGATTGTTAAAACAAAAAATATTTGTTGTTTGTCTCAAATTGTGTTAATTATAAATAAAGTGGTTAAATTTTTTTCTATTGCGTTTTGTTTTAAAAAATGTTATAAAAAATGTCAATAATTATCAATACCGAACGATATGAAACATTATATCGTTGATAACTTTTTTAGCTATATCGCCCAGCCCTAGCTGCACACATCTGAATATTTGGGTTGAAGTGTTCTGGAACAGTGTTGTAAATACAACTTAACCACTGATTTCTTGTCGTGTCCTCTTTTGGAAGACCAAACAAAGTAGTTTCGCTTTCGCAACGAAACACAGCATCTCCACGATATGGCAGCGGTGGTGGCAGCAACAATAAAGTTAAGCCTTCTTTCTTTGCGTGAACATTTGGGCGGCGTTATGCAAATCTTCCCACATCGTGATGGGTTTAAACGAGGGGTTTTAGGGGGGCGTGGACGAGTCTTAACTTTTATAAAGAATATCTCTTTGGGTTTGAGACTTTAGTCTTTGCAACTTTAGGGATCTTATCTATTCATGAACAGCTTGTAACACTCCAAAGAGAAAGGAAAACTTGAAATCGCATCAAATGACCCCTTTAAACATGAAAAAACAGTGTCAGTGTCACTTTAGATTAGCATTGCAGAATTACAATTTCTACTATGAAGCAGCTCAACAGAGTGTTCAAGTTTTTAACTGCATATGACCTCAATGGACTTGACTTAAAAGAAATGAACCAGAGAAGATTTCCACGTCAAAGGCGGCAGAGCCACAAAGCCACACTAACATATTACATAATAGCCATGGACCAGTGGTAGTTGGAAACTGTTTACCAGCCAGAGCAAGATGTTTTGAACTTCCAGACAACTCCATACAAACTTTACTTGAAATGATGCCACACCAGTTTGTTTTTCAATTTCGTTTGAAGTATATCAGGGCCTTTAAAGTGCAACGTGGACTTGACCTTATGCTATAAGCACACACACTATATACTCACTCTGTGCAGACACAGAGGGGGTCGGGGGGGAGGAGGTTTGGGGAGGGGGGACTGAGGTTCGTGAGGAAGGTGACTCGGTCTGATGTTGCGGGACAGGTGCATGGCCCACACAGCTCACCAGATCTGTGAACCGGGATGAGTGGGTTGGGAAAGGGAGGAATGCATTAACACACCATGAGAGACAGAGAGATGGACAACATGTGAAGAGATGAAAAGGCAGTAACATCAGACAAATAACAAGATGCATGGGGCAGTGGTTTCTGACTGAACAGGATATGCATCAATAACAAGGGTCAACGGTCAACACTTGGGCCAACAGACGGACACGAACAGGGTCCAACATTAAAAGTGCATGTTTTCCCTGTTAAACACCTAAGGAAATTAGTAATACTGTACACCATGTACATTCACATTATAATTTTAACAGTGGACTAGAAAAAGTTTTAATACATGTGAGGACATGGAGGGGGTTGACTCATGGGGTCTGACATATTAATATCATACAGTATGACTACCTGAATACTATTCACTTTATCTTAATAAATCTTTATAATTCACTTTATCTTAACAACTAATTTAATAACCCTGTTACTAGAAACTGACAGCTTAAAAATGACTTTTTTATTAAATTACTTTATTTAGTACTTTAATCGATTGAATATTATTTTATTATAATTATTATATTTACCATTTAATACAACTTATTAAATAAATAATTAGAATAATTATCAAGCTAAATGATTTAACAAGTTACTAAATTTAAATGCTAGATTCATTAAATCATTAAAATGAATAACTAATTATTACAACGTGATTACTTTAATAAACCATATTTTAATAATCATTAAAATATATGAATAATTTATTATTATTAAATTAAGTTACATTAATACTTTAAAGTACAAAAATGATTCTAAAAATATATATTATTTAATTATTACAAACAATTACAAACGAATGATTTTTTTAGCACATTATTTTCATAATTAAATTACTTTGTTAAATACTTAATTGAATTATAAAGATTATTAATAATTATTAAAAATAAATCGAATCAATAAAAATGGATAACTATTATTACTATTATTATTAATTATTAAATAACTATTTAAGTTAACTAATACTTATTAATTCATTATTAAAAAAGGAATTACTTGAATGACAAAAACAATAAAACGACATAATGCTCTAGCCAAAAACATTCATGGACCCTGTGCATGAGCGTCTGTACTTAGGTCTGCAGGGGGCGCTATACTCACTCTGCATGATGGGGGTCTGTGGAGGGGATTGTGTGGAGTGGGCAGCTGCTTTGCTATCAGGCACAGCCGAGGGTCCCGAGCCCCTACGGGCGCAGCCCAGGATGTCGGTCAGCTTGGTGGCTGTTTACACATGAAGGTAATGATGACCGATGGAAGGTGGGAGCAAGATGGCAGAGACTCATCCAAACTCAAGTGCATGCCATTCCACTTGCTGTTTCAGGGGGGCAGCGCACACAACAACAGCAGGGAGTTGATCAGCAAGAGAAAGTGGGTTGTTTTTAGATTAGCTTGTTAGCTCTTTTTATATAATTCGCCTCAAGAAGAGCAAAACTCATACGAAGCTGGTTATTTTTCAGGGATTTGCTTTAGTTAGATGCCGTGCAATCCAGCCAGGCCAAACCAAACGAGTGCAGACCAGACTTACAGAAGATGGCGGGGGCGGAGCCCGGAGGTGATTGGCTGACTTCAGCGGGGGCTTTTACTGAACCGCTATCTAGGCTTTTCCCTATTGAGCGGGAAAGGAAGAGGTGGGAAGAGATTGGAAAGATGAGACTGAGAAAGGAGGACGTGCAAAGATGGAACACGGCACACCATTTAACCTACAATTGAGGCTGAGCCATTTACATGGAAGGGTGGCAAATCGTCCCGCCTACTTCTGAACACGACATTTCCACACAACGAACCTATATTTACCCGTGTGAATAAAACACACATACGCAAAGCCTTAGCCCACATCTCTCACATTTTCAGTGTTCTCACAGATAAAAATACACCGAAGGTGTCCTGAAATGCACGTCCCAGGAGAGCAGAATTAAGTCAACACTTCTTAAGAAACGTACAAACTCAGAGGAAGTCAAAAGGCCACAACAATGTCACAACAATAGCAGACGCAAATTACATTTCGGAAAAATTAAAAGCTTCAGATTTTTCATATTCAAGGCTTCAAAAACTGATTTGTCAAAGTTCAAAGACGAGGCAATGTGTGCAAACCTGTGACTGCAGCAAATAGCTTTAACTTTAAAGTTACATGTAAAAACAAATTTAATTTTAATTACATAAATACATAATTGAAAATAATACAAATATTTATTTAATAAATAAAATAAATAATAAAGTAATTTATTTTAAATTAGTGAGTTTTTTTTCTAAATATTACTATTATTTTTCAAAAAGCAATAAGCCATGTGAGGCTTTGCAATACAGTGATTTTATCATGATTAATGGGGTTCAGGTATAACGAAGCAGAGCAACTTCCATTATGCGATATACACTACTGTTCAAAAGTTTGGTGTTGGTAAGATTTTTAATGTTGTTCTCTTTTGCGCTTATATTTTGAAATATTATTACCATTTAAAATAGCAGTTTTCCAGTTGAATATATTTTAAAATGTAATTTATTCCTGTGATCAAAGCTGAATTTTCAGCATCATTGCTCCAGTCTTCAGTGTCACATTATCCTTCAGAAATCATTCTAATATGCTGATTTGCTGCTTAAGTAACATTTCTTATTATTATCAATGCTGAAAACATAATATTTCTGAAATCTTACTTTTGTGGAAACTGATACATTTTCTTTAAGATGAATAAAAAGTTCAAAATAACTAATCCTTTGTAATCTTATTAATTATTTTTCAATCAATTCTGATCAATTTAATGCATCCTTGCTGAATAAAAGCACTAATTTCTTTTAAAAACACCTTACGGACCTCAAACATTTGAACAATACTGTATTTCTGAGTGAAACAGGAGGTTGAAGAAGAAAAAAATGCATATGACTTGATTGTATCCATCAGGAACTTACTGGATTGTGAAAAGTGTCTTTTTAGAGCTTGGTGATGTTTTCAGAAATGCAAAGTCCTTGGTAAAAATCACATTGTTTCAATGAAATACAACAAAAACAGATGCCTCTCACCTTTGACGTCTTCATCCTCAATGGTGGTGTTGCTGCTGTCTGAAGATTCCTGCAGGACAGACAAAAGCAATCAGTGTCCGACCTCACACCAACAAAACATTTACTCAACAAACATCAACTAACTCCAATAAAGCACAACCAGCACTACCACTGAGACGAATGGAATAATCACTACCGCAAATACATATAACACTTGTAGTGCCAACAGCAGTGTAGACAGTCGAGAAGGTTTAATCTCAAGCTCAGCCACCTGGTGAGGCTGTAACACAGGCATTCAATGAAACCCAGCTCCTGTGTTGTGCATCTCCACGTCTCTTTCCCAGATGGCAGCATTGAGAACGCAGCTCTGCATAAGCATGTAACCACCCACACACACACAAACGCATTTAATAGCTGCATTTAGCTTCTGACGTATTACAAATGCAAATGACTGAGCCCCCGTCTGCTCGTATTTCTCTCGATGGGTTCCTGTGGGCGAGTTATCGACCCACCGCAGGCACCTTGAGAGTCTGAGCCGCAGGCAAATGGACTGTCAGACTTCAGCCAGCTGTGGCCATGCATATGGGACGGGAGGCCAGAGAGGGAGAGGAGCTTTATAGATAGAGGATAGGAAACTTTTTTGGTAACAATGGGAATGTCTGATTGGATGAGTCTGGGCTATGGGTTAACAGCCATGTTATTTTAGTATCAGTAGATACTATTAAAGTTTTTCTTAATATTTTGAATCAGCTTCTATTTTTCTATTTTCTGTTTTTATTTTAATTTCCGTGAAATTTTAGTAATTGTCATTTTTGTAGGCTTTTTTTAAAGGGGTCACATGATGTTATTTTAACATTATTTTGTGTATTTGTTGTAATGAAATGTGTTTATGCAGTTTAAGGTTCAAAACGCATTATTTTCCACATACTGTACATTATTGTTTCTCCTCTATGCCCCGCCTTTCTGAAACGCGTCGATTTTTACAAAGCTCACTGGTCTGAAAAGCGAGTTGTGCTCTGATTGGCCAGCTATCCTGTGCGTTGTGATTGGCCGAATACCTCAAGCGTGTGATGGAAATGTTACGCCCCTTACCTTACTGTGATGCCATGTCCTGGCAGGAGCGACGAGACAAAAACATTAAAACCCATTACAAACGAGGCATTTGTTGCATCCAGAGGGGACATAATTACGGATTATAATGACTTATACTGTCTTTTTACGTGTTGCGTTGCATCGCGTCACAAACATAAAACCATGTCTGCATTTGTGATCGGAGAAATGACAAACAACAAGCGCTACTCTACACTGCTCAAAACTCGCGTTTGAATCATCAGTGGCAAATTCTTTAAATATGAAAACGCACTTACAGGAGTCAGCATTATTTGTCAGAACACCGGCATTGTAGGCTACTCTCCCAGGAAACAGTCCTCGTCCTCCGTAAAATGTGTTGCACACATCTGGATATTTGGGTTGAACTGTTCTGGAACAGTGTTGTAAACACAACTTGACCACTGATTTCTAGTCGTGTCCTCTTTTGGAAGGCCAAACAAAGCATTTTCGCTTTCACAACGAAACACACAGCGTCTTCACGACATGGCGGCGGCGGCAACAATACCACAGCGAGAATAAAAGTTACACCTTCATTCTTTGCGTGAACATTTGCGCGGTGATATGCAAATCTTCCCACATAGTGAGGTAGACATGTGGGGGTGTGTTTAAACGAGGCATTTTAGGAGGGCGTGGACAAGTCTTAACTTTTATAAAGAATATCTCTTTGGGTTTGAGACTTTAGTCTTTGCAACTTTAGGGATCTTATCTATTCAGCTTGTAACACTCCAAAGAGAAAGGAAAACTTATATATATTAAATTATTAAATATATATGTCTAAATAGTTTTTATTGATTTTTATTTCAGTTTTACTACATTAAGTTAAAACAAATTAAAATGACAAATGCTGTCTTGATAACTACCTGAAATATAGTTTTTTAATATTTTATTTTATGTAATGTTCATTTCATTTCAAGTAACAAAAATGTTTCTTAGTGTTTTAGTTTTATTTTAGTTTCATTTTTAGTTTTAGTTAACTATAATAACCCTAATAAAAATGGTTAAATATAATCATTTTATTTAGCAATGACAATAGCAAAATAATATTTTTTAAATATTATAATCATACCCTTGAAGCCAAAATGTAATAATAATTAAAAAAAAATATATATATAACTATTTGATGAAATTAAAATAGCTTTCCTTTTTGGCAGACTTCATGATCAAATCAATTGCCATTTTATACATTTACATTTATGCATTTGGCTGATGATTTAGGGTACACATTTTTTACCATTTTATTTTTCTCAGACAAGCTATGGTTAGTTTTAAACACAATTTAATGAAAATGATCCAAAAAGATGGTATTTTTTTTATCATGTTATGTCATAATTCAAGAAAGCAGCAGATAAAATGCAGTGCAATGTCAAAAGTCATTACAAACCACATTAGAACAATATCCAATCAATTTTTACCACTTTATGAGCATTTCACAACACACCAGTTTACATTTCTGTTCAAAAGATTGGGGTCAGGAAGTTTTTTTTTTTTTTTTAAGAAATAAATACTTTTATTCAGCAAGGATGCATTAAATGATCAAAAGAGACAGTATTATAATGTTACAAAATATTTATATTTCAAATAAATGCTTTTAAAATTTTGCACAAAAATGTTAAGCATTGCAACTGTTTTTAACATAATATTAATATTAAGCAAATCAGCATATTAGAAGGATTTCTGAAGGATCATGTGACACTGAAGACTGGAGTAATGATGCTGAAAATTCAGCTTTGGATCAAAGGAATAAATTGCAATATATTCAAATAGAAAACAGTTGTTTTAAATCGTAATAATATTTCATACATTTTTACAATTAAATGAGCATAAGAGACTTCTTTCAAAGACAAAACAAAAACAAATTTTACCAACCCCAAACTTTTGAAAAGTAATGTGATTTTTTTTATCATTGTCTAAACTGTTTAATTAAAAAAATATGTCATATTACTGAAGTAAAATTTTCCCCATGTTGAAGTTCAACTAATTTCTGCTTAAAACCATGCGTGTATTTGACTAACAATAGTCAAAAGAACATTCTATGTCATTGTTTTACCTGAAACAATTAACACTGAACACCGTACTAAACACCACACTCTTAACCGAACACTTTCCCATCCTAATGTGACTGCACGCTCACTCACAAATCCAAAACAACACCCTCGCTCGCACCACAGAATAAAGAGACTGGCAGCAGATGACAGAAGCAGAGAGAGGAGGAGAGGAAGGTGGAGAAAGAAAGAGAAGAGGATGGGGAGGGTCGTGCGGAAGATGTACCTTGATCCCATCCACTGGGTTATGGATAACAGTGGTCTGAGGCTCCTAAAGAGAAAGAGAGAGAAGAGGAAGAAGAGGAGACAGCGAGAAGGAGAGGGGAAAAAAGAGGAGCAAAATGAGATGGAGGTGAGAGATGGCAAGAATAAAACAAGTGTTAGCAAAAAAAGACGAGAGATGGAGAGAGAGCAGTCTCAGTTAGAACGAGGGAGAGAGAGAGGAAGAGGAAGTGGATGGAGGTTATTAGTCGAAGGTCAAAGCCCAACATCTGAAGCCAGTCCAGAGATGTGAACGCATCTAATCCCAGCTAAAACACCACAAATGTACAACTTTAAGAACTTTTGACTACTAAGTGCTTTAATTTAAAAACAAAATGCATAGAAATCACAAAGATATTGTTTCAAGGTCAAATAAGCTTGAAGGACTGTGAAATGTGCTTAACAAAATGAGATGATCTCTTTCAGAATATCAACATAGTTCTTATTAACGATGTGTTAACACAACAATGATGCTTTTTAAAGGTGCAGTAGGAGATCTTGGAAAATGCTAACTTTAGCCTGATAGCACTGAAAGCGAACGTCCCACCCTCCCTGCAATCGCCGTCCAAAGCCACGCCCCCTGAACGCATTTACGCTCACAGACCAGAATACCAGAGACAACATTACTTGCATCAGCATTACACATTACATTACATCAGTGGTTCCCAATTCCAGCCCATGTTCCGAAGTGAAGTAAATTCAACGGATTTCCTCCGTTCAGGGAGTAGGGAACAATGAACACTGTGTAGGGATCATATCGATCGGAACACAGTTCATGCACGTAGCTCACTTCTAACGAGCTGGCGTGAGACTGGATTAACCGCTGGGCTACATCATGTGTCATTCACTGGTGAGAAATCATTAAAAGTACTACAATACCAGGAAGGAAGATCAGGTTGTTGATGTTTGTCTGCCATTCTCACTCTGTCTGCACAGCGTGCGTGAACGCGCTGATGACGTATCCTGTCTGCGCGAACTCGGTGCGCAGAGGTATGCTAATACATATGTTGACAGGCAGGTAGGCTACAATACCAGGAAGGAAGATCTGGTTGTTGATGTTTGTCTGCCATTCTCACTCTGTCTGCACAGCTTGCGTGAACGCGCTGATGACGTATCCTGTCTGCGCGAACTCGGTGCGCAGAGGTATGCTAATACATATGTTGACAGGCAGGTAGGAAAGCCAATTAAAATGCTTGGACCGAGCGTTTTGATTGGACGAACATTTCTTGATCCTACGTCTTCCACAGAATATATAAATACAGACAAATATATTTAGACCACTTAACTTAATGATTGCTATCGGGATGTGAAGAGACTTTCAACCAGCATAACAAAAAATGTTTCTGAAAACAATCACCTATTGCACCTTCAAGCTTTTCAAGAGAAGTTTTGCTCATTAATCAATATTAGATGTTGAAGCCAAAGCATCTATAATTGTCCAAAAATGTAACTGGACACTCAAGACACACTTAAAAATATGTCTGAATATCATTGCATTAGAGCAGGGTTCCCAAATTGTGAGTTGATGAAAAGCTAATCAATTAAATAACAAAAACGTCAAATTAAAACAATTCTAAAAATAAAAACAAAATAAATTACATGCTAAAAAAAGATTATAATATAATATAATATAATAATTTGTTAACCTGCATATTATATAAAAAAAAATTTAAGTTATTGAAATATTAACTTTAAATCTCAGGGCAGATATCAAGTAAATATTTTAGATCAGCTGGAAAATAATAAAAGTAAAGTAAAGTAAAAAATAAAATAAAACAAAAAATAATTAAAAAACAGCACAAGCACACTGTAAGCAAAATGTTTTACAAAAAACAACAACAACAACAGTTACTTTTTAAATTATGATGTTTTCAGATGCCATTTTCTTTTTATATTTTGCAGACATTTTAAAATGTGACTCGAGTTGCCAAATGCTTTTTGGGTCACTGTATCTGTCAAAAAACAATGCAATTGTGAGGCTCTGAATAGTAAAAAAAAAAAAAATTTAATAAGATGTGTTTTATTTGATGATATTGTACTGATTACATTACACTGGATTTATTAAAATAACAGAAATAATGAAACAATGTCAATACATCAGACTTTACAGCATTAGGTTTTATAAAAAAAAGCAAAAATGCACAGAGACGTACACACAAACACATATATTTAATGAAACATTATAACGGTCATAATGAGAGTAAAAAATTATTGAAACACAAAGAGCCAACATCTTAGTTTGGTTTAGGGCTGTCCAAAAAAATTTAGAATTTAGAATATTCGTCGAATTTAAAATAAAAATCCACATTCGAATGCAAAAACATTGCATTCGAATTTTAGGTGTGTGTCAGGCAGCCTTATCAGTGGAGTACGAAATTTTCTAGAGGGTCATCTATCACCGTTGCACTCGCGTCTCGCACAAAAGAGCGGCATGTTTAGAAAGCCATGTAAAATGAATGCGAGTTCAACTTTTAAAAAACATGTCTCGAGACTTTACGGCGTTACTTTCCCCATCCCACTGCATCTCAAGTTTTTAAATGAAGAAAGTACTCTTTGTGATTGGTTTTCGGTCCTTTGTATTAAACTATACATACATGCATGATGCTGTTTTGTTTCTAATTGTTTAAGCAACTTTATTAATTATATAAGGTTTATAAACATTATTTTAAACATTATGCACTTTTTTCAAAGATAGTCGTGTTATTTTATTATGCTTTGAAGAAACGTGCATTAGTAATATTTTGCTCAATGCGCCCTCTTGTGGCCTCAGGAGAGAAGCCAAAAGCTTTTTCAGGGTTTCTGCAGACTTGAACAAGTTAAATTTAAGACTTTTTAAGACCTTTTTATTACCACCTTATATGAAATTTAAGACCTAAATCTGTAATGGAAATACACATTTTATTACATACATATATGTAATATTTAATGTTTATAAATTAAAAAGAAAACAAAATATCAATGCTGTAATAAATGGTATTTATTACTACAATATACAGTGAACTTTTCATGTCAGCAGACAATATCCCATACAAAATATCCCTGCAAAATAACTGCATCACTGAGTTTTTTGGTGGAGTAAACAATTTATTCTGAAGCAATATTTTCATCAGTGTTCTATCAGTTTTTACATACTTAAATCTGCATATTTACCTTTACAAAGGCCTATGTTTAACCTTTTTAGATGTATGCATCATCTTACCTGTCAAATTATTACAATTTATCAATAAATTCAATA